AGTATTATGTCTATTACAAATACGTGCACCTCGTCGGACCATATTATAGATCTGGAAAAGCTGTTATAGATATTTGTTCCAAATACCAGTTGCAAAACAGTAAACGTCATTCTGCACCACCAGGATGCGAATGGTGTATGATTTTAATGATGAATGGTCTAAATTTAGGTTTGACCAATATACTTTTAACCCGAGTCTTGGGAATAACTTCCTGCTCTATAAATCCACATGATTGTGACGGTGTTGCCTCTACACATGCCAAAACGTTAACTTTACACATGCGTTAAAAAGGTAAATAAATGTTTAAACAAACCTAATTTAAATTTTGCAACTGACAGGTTTTGGCAAGGGCTTAGCAAATAGTCATTCTATTGTTCTACTAATCACGGCCTACTAATACTAATACAATACTTACCAAGAGGGTCGTATAGGGACACGTTTTGTGCAATTATGAATTTTAGGTTTATAATTTGAAATACATATCATGTGTTTATTTTTGTAAAGCTTAGGAATTTGCTATCAAGCCAAATGATCCTTTTCAACTATATATCAAATTCAGTCATCCAAACAAATTGATGATAAAATTTTGCGCAAATACGTGCTGAACTGTAAGTGGCCGTCACTGTCAGAAATTCATTGTTGGAAAGAATCGAATAGTTTCCAAAGTTACATGGTGCGCAAGTGTAGTGTAGTGAATTCAAAATGATTTCGGAAAAAACGACAGCACGACCCTACATCCCTCGTCGATGATAGAAAAATAATATCTACAAAAATATCAATCTGGTCGGAAATTATTTCCATGCGAATTAAGAATGATACTAATTTGATGCGATCAAGAAAATGTTTAGATGTAACCGAAAATCCGTATACATCCGGTAGGTGGCTCAAATCGGCATTACAGTCGTTAATAAATTTCCACGTTTCTTGGTCATTGGTCTTGGTCAAATAACTCATATAGGCTCTACTAACGTTTCGGCCACCCGGCCTGTTTCAAAGCACACAAAAGTAACAGTCCACAGTTTTATATTTATCTGCGTCCCAGGTGTCAGTTCATTAGGTTTTGCTGCTGCTTTACGTAGAGTTGGCTTCGCTTCCAACATCCAACATCCCTGTGGTCCCTTTTAATGTTAAATTTATTGATTTTAACTTTAAAAAAGGCCACCGAGGTTATGGCTATTATATGCTGGTAAAAAATCATTTCTATATATCGACCCCTGCAAGGAAGACTATTGTTGAACTGAAATATAGGCATTACCAGATTTTCTGATGAATTTCGTTGTCAGAAAAATGAAGATCTCATCAAAAATATGTTGCACATTGCAGTAATTCTTGTATGTAAAAGGTTATAAATAGTATTACAATACAAACCTAGCGAATATGACAATATTTTTTATAAATTTTGTTGACTTACTATAGTTTTCGTTGGATCAATTAAAGTAAAAAATACACTAGGTCTACAGTATTTTTCAAACAAATGGTCGAAAAAAACTTCTTTAATGCCGAACTGAGTCACTTAAATTATATTCATCTTCGTGTTCTTCACTATCATCGTTCTCAACTTCTGTACTTTCAGCACTGTCAATATTATGTCTTTGTATCTTCCTTGGCTTTTGAAGAAAAATAAAACGCAGTTAAGCCTCAGGCATGGTACGACGACTGTTCGCTTTTGATTTACATAGGTCGAATAAACCTTTTAATTTTCTAACATCTACTGGAAGCAAGCTTGTGTACAGTAAAGGTAGTTCCTGAAGCGTATTGTTTTGCGGTTTCATTCTCTGATAATTTTTCTTCGATTTCACTATAGTGAGATCATCAGCATAGTCACAATTATATTTCATTTTACGAGGCACGTCTAAGGAAAAATGGACTTCCTTTATCTTATTTATTCTCATCTCTTCTCCACAATCGTCTTTGTTCCAATTTTCCGATTTCACCTTTTGTTTAAAACTAATGGATCCACATCCAACCGCAGACAGCGATGTTTCTGGCTATTTAGCCCTCATCAGAACGATACAGGACTGAGTCGGATCAAGACTTGGCGATGAACGAATGAAAAGCAAACATGCGAGTGTCGTCTTAGCAAAACCGAGGACTGTAGTTGAATTCTCTGTTAAACTTTTTTATTTCACAGGCATGAGAGAAACATACTGTGATAGTGTGATGCGACAAATTCCAATGTATAACGTGCAGAAGAGGATGCTATGTTTGAACCTCTTTGTTGTGTTAAACGAATTCGTCACATATGGTACTAAAAAAATAAAACTATTTATGAATCAAACTTGTCTGGATTTAACGGTTCAGCAACTCCACTTAACTTCTTTGCATTTGCCAGAATTATTTTGGTTGTTGAGTTCATTTTAGTTCGCTTTGAAAACTGCTCTTTTTATTCAGCTACTGCTTGAAACGTTTTCGGTATTCATTACTATATCCTCAAACTATGCCGCGAAAATCATAGCAAATCAGACAGTAGGTCTAACAGTAAGTTCGGGTTTCCGTGATCTTTTGCATCGAAGACTAAAGTCACTCAACCTGATATAGTTTTCCCGGAAGCAATGACCACTATTATACTTACTGTATGACGTACAAGATTTACTGGTTCCCTATAGTTTCATGACTGATATACCATATTCTTCCTCCAAAGAGCAACAGATAAAGTTTATCGATACCGTACAGTACGTCAAAAGCAAGGATTTTTGAGTTACTATATGTATATCGTCTTCGTTGCAGGGGTCGATATGTGATTTCACCTAACGGACAGAACATGAAGATTAATCAGCATGAAGACCGCAGGATAATATTTGTATATTACGTTAGTAGCTACTAAGTGCCCAATCATGGTCATGAACATAATAAAATTATTTTGCTAGCTTTAGTAAATTAATATTTTTTCGACTTGACTATGCTTGTGCTTCCTGCAAATCTGTAACAGTTGATTCTCTGTATGGCAGAAGCAATTGAGCAGTCACACAGCCCGACGTTCAATGAGTGTTTCAGAGAAATGCTTCCATGACGTTCGTCACGTTGAATGGTGATGTGGGGTGGAGCTACTGGTCTAAAAGTGAAGGTGCTTAGGGTCATTTCATCTGTCGTTCCTACAATTGGAGGACGCCTTTATGGCTTTCTTGATTTTCATAGTTTTCTACTGTTCCGTGCCAGCGCTCTATTTTGAGGTTATGTTGCAAATATCTATATGCTTTTGATATCACCCGTTATATCAGCCTGAAATTTTCTACAGTTTTTATTGTCAACATATGTTTATTTGATGTTCGTGGTTTCCTACTGTTCCGTGTCGGTGCTCAATTTTGAGGTTATGTATGGTTCAAATAACTATTTGCATCAAATTGTTCGTGCTTTTTATTTATATTATCTTTTATATCAGCTTGAAATTTCCTACAGTTCAAAAAGAAAACATAGCCTCACAATAGGTGTGCGTGGACCCTGACATGCAACAGTGGAAATCTAGAAATACCCCGGCCTTTCTGAAGCGGAGAAAGGACTATGAAAATCAAGGAGGCCATACAGGTGTCCCACAATTATAGGAACAACTAACTATACTGCCCTTAGACATTCTGCTCACATTCTATTGGAGCTAAGAGAGCGGATTGAAGGAACAGCATGTGTAAACGAGTTGTTTAGAGCTTAAGCGGTGTGTTTCTGAAAACGGCTGCCATCTTGATGACATTATTTTCAAAATTCAATAAGTGTAAAACGGTATAATCTGTTGACTCCAAAATTAAGAACATTTATTTCCTACACCTACTGTCGAGGAAGTGAAGAAGTATTGTAATCTTTGTAAAGTTACAAAAATGAGATATAATGTTCTAATGCTATATGACATGTAAGTCATGAAAAACCAGTGTCACTCATTTTTGTCGGTCTTTACTATACAGGGTGGCGCATCGAAGACGAAACAGACGCATTTACTGGCAGCTCAGTTTTTTTTGGAAAAACGATCAGATCCGTCGATTTTGTTTTCGAGGGGGACACAAGTTTGGCAAAAAATCACATTAACTCGTGCAGCCCCCTGGGCGGCGGTGATACCAACCCTAAAATCTTAAATGGAAAGGGGGGTCGAGTGATACCTTGTTTTAAAGGTCTTTCAATTCCCTTTATAATGATATAAAATTAATGTACTTCATTTCAGTAGTTTTGAAGATTTATTGATTTCGATACGCAGATCTGCCTCTGCTCCTTATGTTCACCGGCGGGCGTGCCGGTCTCCTTTAGTCTGCCTCTACCACGGCCGCTGTGCCGCGCCGCCGCGTACCGGTATGTAGGAGTGGAGACGTCGTCAGTTGGACGATACTACCGGTAGGGCAGGGAAAGAATATTTATGATCTAATTGTAACGGTGACGGATCTATTCAATGTCTCTGTTGTACATGTTCGAAAAGTAACTTCCTTTGCATATGGTCTAACTTGTGCTAAACCTTTATAAACTGATGACGGTGTTGCGTGGGAAGTGCAGAGCTACATGCTTGGCTCAATTTTTTTCCTATACATATGGATCTTTATGACTCTTTGAAATGGCTTAGATGATCCCACCGTTCCACGAACTAACATCCTGAAGACTTTTAGTTAGACTAGTATGGAGAAAATCATATGTTTATATATACATATATAAATTCTGTAATACTTCAAAACCATATAACTGATCACTTTACAACTATACTAGAGATAATTTTCCCCAAAATCATTAGCAAAAATATAAACACAAATTGTGTATATAGAACAAATGAAACCAAATTACTTGAACTTCTGAATAATCAAACTTGGACACCAATATATAATTCGATCAACACGCACAAAGCTACTGAACATTTCATACAAATATTGAACGAAAATATCACTAAATGTAGGTATAAATTAAAACTCAAAAATAATCAAAAAGCTAGGAAAACATGGATAACTAGCGCTTTGGTGAACTCTGTAAATAAGAAAAACAAACTATATCGTGAAATGATAAAAAACCCAACGGAAATAAATATAAAAAGATTTAAGGATTACAGAAACTTATTAAATAACTTATTAAAAACAAGAAAAAAGGAATACTACGACAGCAAAATCAAGAAAACCAATAATAGTAGTAAGATCTTATGGGATTGTGTAAATGAGATTTCCGGTAAAAGGAATAAAAAGGCAGAAATAGATAAGATAAAAATCGAAAGTGGGGAAGAAATATCCAATAAAAATGATATTGCTCAGAAGTTTTTGGAACACTTCACAAGCATTGGTGAAAAACTGACAGAGAAGATACCACGCACTGCTCCTATCAAACAAGTAAATAAGCTTATCAACTCAATTTATTTAGACGATACGGATGAAAACGAAGTGAGGGAGACTATATTAAGCTTGAAAAATGGCAAGGCTCCTGGAAGCGATAACATAAAAGCTGAAACTCTGAAAAAAATACGATATTATATATGCAAGCCTTTAAAATATATAATAAATGAATGTTTTCGTACAGGAGTATTTCCCGATATTTTAAAGTTAGCCACAATAACACCTATCTACAAAAAAGGTAGCAAACTTGATATAGAAAATTATAGACCAATATCCCTGATTTCGAGTATCGCCAAAGTCGTAGAAAAAATAATCAAGTCAAGGTTACTAAAGTTTTTCAATAGGTATAACGTGTTACATAAAAATCAATTTGGATTTAAAGAAGGCATATCAACGCAAGATGCAATAGCTACACTATCCAAAAAACTGTACAGACTAGTTAACGATAAGATCCCTGCCATTTGCATATTTATAGACTTAACCAAAGCTTTCGACACCATTAGTCATGACAAGCTGTTGGAAATACTCGAGCTTAGCGGTATAAGGGGAACTACTTTAGACTTAATGTCGAGCTACCTAAATAACAGAAAGCAGTGTGTCAAAATAGATAACGTGACCAGTCATTATAAAGACGTATGCTATGGGATCCCACAAGGAACTGTTCTTGGGCCAATATTATTTAATATATATATTAATGATTTGTTCTCAATGGATTCGGGAGGTACAGTGTTAGGATTCGCGGACGATACTGTCATAATTTATGAAGACTCAAGTTGGCCCGCACTTAAAAATAAAATCGAAAATAAGCTCACCAACGTACTAGCATATTTCAACACTAAGCTACTCACAGTTAACTCTGAGAAAACAAGTTTTGTACCTTTCGCATCCTATAGAAACCATATGCCACAATATAACGAAATAAATGTCAGAATAGGAAACTATACGACAACCATTAAACGTCAAAGCAGCACTAAATATCTGGGAATATATATTGATCAAAATCTCAGATGGGATGTTCAAATCGAATATGTGACAAAGAAAATAAGATGCCTCATTCCAAAATTCAAATGTCTTAGAAACATCCTTAATACAGATTGCATGAGAATCTTATACTTCGCACTTGTGCAGTCACATCTTTGCTATGGAATACTTGGCTGGGGAGGAGCTGGCTTCACTTACATAAAGAACTTGGAGATTGCCCAAAAATATTTATTAAAAATTCTTTATAGCAAGAGCAAACTCATCCATCTGATGAGCTATACCATGAGTCTGGAATTATGGACATTAGGCAAACCTTTATTTATAATTGCATGGTATACTACTTTAAAAATAAATCATTTCATGAGGAAATCGCTCACAAATATGACACTCGCCAGAAAGTTGCTAGGCACATAATGGTACCTAGGCCGGAAAAGTCATTATTGCAACGCTCCTGGATTTATCTCTGCCCCAAATTGTACAACGAAATGCCTGCTGATTATAAGTTAATACGAAACATTGCTTTATTCAAGAAAAAAATCTCAGTCTGGGTGAAAGGTATATCCAGGAGCATAATACATGATTATATAGAAGGCAAAACACTATATATGTCACTCTCACAACCCAAATGAAGTCACCGTTTTTAGAATAATTGCTCCATTCTATTAATTTATTATTTTATCATATTTTATTGTACGTTATTATATTTTATTAGATTTTATTATGTTTTATTGTAGTCATTTATATGCTTATACCGTATCTCATGTATGATGGGCATTTAATTTTATTCTATTCTATGCTTGATATATCCTTGTCTTTATTGCTCACAACACAAATGCAACTACCAGTTTTGTAATGTCATTTTAGTTTTTATTGTCCTTTATCTTAGATGTACTCTTTTTTAGATTAGCCTTTTGATTTATGTTATTTATTATTGAATTTAGTTAAAGTGCCACAATGTCAGTTCAAGGTTTTCGCATTTCTGCCAGTGATCGTGTAACATCAAATTATGTCAGTGCGTGCGTAAGAAGTGCATAGTGCATTAGCAAGTACTTGATAGACTTTATTTATATCTGCGGATAGACAACTGACAATAATGGGATGGCCACACACAAGATTTTTCTTTCGTGGCATTACTTTTATTTGTCATATTTGTCATTGAAACGTGTTATCTCCTTTGTATTCATTTGGCAACGTTCAGTCATTGTTTACCTAATACTTTCCCCGTTAAACAGAATAACAAATGATGACTATTTTTAATTATATATACCTACATTTAATATTCATGACAAAAACTTCAATTTCCGCGCACTATTAGGTAACCAGCGACATGAAATATGCAGGAATGGGGCGGGTTATCAGTCTGCCTGTAGTAAAGTACGAGTACGCGACAGGGTATCGTCGGAAAGGATGATGTTGTTTCTGGGAAGCCGGTGAATCTCCCTCAGGTCGAATTCTCTACTAGGATAATACGGATCATTCAGATGCTGATGGCTAGACGGGATGTATACGTTATGTACATGCACAGGATTCAGAGGTACCTACAGCGGGTAGTAATTAATCTGTCAGAGTTACGTTGAGATCTGTCATAGCATTAAATAATTTATTTATTATACCTGAATTCAGCCCATGAAAATATGCATTCGAGAAGAGCTGAAAAGGGATTGAAGATCTTAGCTCTGTCTATGAGAAAGTAGCAAAACCACTCTGGCTTTTTCCAAAGTAGATTTCTGAATCAATTTTTGTGTTCTGCTACTGTCTTAGAGATGGCGCTAGTATCTTTCAGATCTTTTTGGGCGCCGGAATACAGTAACTTCAGGAAGAATACGTTAACTATTGGTTATAGCGTAGTATTGGTGTCGACTATATTAACGAGTGATCTTTTGTTTGGAGGACGTATCGCAATTTTTTGATGTTAGTATATTAATACACGGTGGCACTTGCCATGCGCTATGCGTTTGTAAGTATTGCATTTTTGGTAGTGGATTTGAGAGGTACAGGTAGCAGTCTGCACAATATGCAAATAAGAGTGTAACTTGAGGAGGTAACATTAAATAGTAGAGTACGTATCAAGAGCTATTATAATTAGTTATTAAACATTGTTGACTAACAGCATTTCACGATAGCTCTAAAGAAATGGGGTTACCGTGTATGGACCCGCTCGTTGCGACAATCTGATGAATCTTTTTTTCATGAAAAGCACAAATGGTTCTGACAGAGCCTGCGCGGTACTATGCGTACTATGCGTATGAAAAATTGTATAAGAAGTTGCTACGAAGGCGTAGGAAGTCCATCCACTTCACGCCAACTTCTTTATCATCAAATTTTTTCTACTAATATTATATTTTAGGGCGTGTCCAAGATGCCACATGAGTGTTGGCTGGTCGAACATCGACCAGCTGACATGTACAACATATAACCTCAAATTTGCCTTGCATTTGTTAACAAGCTTTTGGGCACTTAGTATACTTTAAATTGGTTTTATTGCCCATTCTTTCTATATTTCAATTTGGATGGATGCTATATCAGCCGTAAAATAACGAGATAATTATTAATAATGTATTTGTAATAACCTCAAATATTAACATTAAGGTAATTTCGTGGGTAACTTTATATGAAAGCAGCTGGTATAATTAATATATTTTGCAGTTAAAACCCTGTTTCATCATGCTGCTTTTATAAGGATCCTTATAGATGCAAAACCATCAGTCGCATTTCTTAAAATACCGATTTTTATTAGGTACTAGCTGACCCGAAAAACGTTGTCCTGTCTTAGCGACAATAGCGACTTCTTCAATTGTCGGCGCATCTTTCGTGTTCTCCTGCAGGGGTCTTATCGGCTCTGATAGCGATTTTGTGGTTATCAGATGGCATGCGGTGTAATGTGATTTTGAATAATGCAACCATTTCGTTGTGTTGATGAACAAATGTTTCGAGTTGTTCCACAATTGGTCTCTTCACAGAATTGTTGTCTGCACAGCGCTGATCAACTTATCTTACTGAACCGCCCATAAAATGAATTTGCAAAAATTTTTAGCCACTATCCGGCGTTCGCAATAAGTAAACTATTCAATGATATATTTGGCCCTTAATCTGAAAGGGTAAACTTATGGAATATAGGTAATTGTATAGCCAAAAGTTTGCACCGCCATGAGGCTAGCAAAATACGATGACAGCACTACCATTTCCCCATCAACTTACCTTAAAAGTAGCCATACAATTATGTCGAATGACTTTTGTTGCGCCAAATGACGTCGTTTGAAATTTAAGAAATAGAATCTGGCCCATTTCCGGAAACCAATAAATGTAGTGGCTCTAGTGGAGGTACCAATGGAGTCAATTTGACTTTTGCACTGGCGCAACATATTTCTGGGGCTTCATCTTTAAACTTGAAAGACTTGCATTGTGGACACACAACGTTAATTGGTCCAATAGCAATGATTTGTTGTAATCGATTGCTACGTCATAATTGAATGCAGCTCGATTGGGATTAAATGCGACACTTCTACGTTGTTGAATTTCAGTCCTTCAATCCCATTCAACTTCATTTATCGCTTCTCGTTGCTCGTCAGTTTAACTTCTTCGGCGTGATTGCGGTAAACTAACTTCCACCCTTGTTAATTATTTTTGAACAATTAAAAAAAATCACTGAATAAACTGAAAACTGGACAAAAGCTCTAATCGAATGGATTGTGCGCTACTAATTAAATAAAAAAATATTCAACGATAATATAAATTGCAAGCGTGCGAGCTTGTCAAGTTCAAAATGATAGAGTAGTGAAAGTCAATTAAGCAAAAGAAACTTATTTTCTTACACCATTTTTATTCATATAGTTAACTGACAAAGATAACAATTAGGCAACACTGCAGTTTCTTTTAAAGGGGTCATCACAAAGTACGGATGGTAAAGAAATGTAAGTCCAAAAACGAAAGCACCGTGTTTTCATACACAATTTTCTCTCACAGTGCCTGTCTCTTTTGATAATTGAGATATTTCTCTGCTGCGCGTGCTCCATCCACATGCAAACTGTCAAACGCGCGTAGCTCAAATAATTATTAGATTTTCAATGATTTTCCAATTTTCTGTGCAATTTTCTCGATTTTTCTTTCCGTTAGAACCTTCTATACAGCATTAGGGAGCTTTTAAGAAAAAGATGAATACAATCGGTAAAGTCGTTCTCAAGTTATGGCGTGACCACGGGAAATAGGGATTCAATATATATAATATAAGGAAGGCAAAATGTTGCGTAATTGCGTGCGGATTTTCTACTGACCAAACATGAAAGTTATTCACCCCATTACGCGTGAACGTAGATTCGTCTGTCACCAATATGCACTTCAAAAAGTCCGGATTATTGTCATGTTGATGCAAAAATCGTCAGGTTGAAGGGCTTGTACACGTTGGGCGTGAAACGGATAGCCCCTCTTCACGCAGCGTTTGCCACACTTTAGTTTTTGATACTTGCACTTCTCTAGCCACGTCTCTAGAGATTCTCGTCTACGCGATTACCTCTACATGCGTGACCGTAACCATCGGTTGAAGGTTGCATACTGACCTGACACACTGACCCCGACCCAGTTCTGCCGTCGCGTTGAGACCTTGTACCAATCTGTGATGTCCCGGGTCGCTGCTACAGGACGGTATTCAGATATTTTTGATGTTGCAGAGCCCTGTATCTCGGTTCCCTTAAGACGTTGGTGTATATGGTACTAAGAAAAATTGCTTATGTTTTCAAGATCTACACGTCGTGTAAAGGAAAACCCCAACTTTGCGGACACTCTGTATATATATATATATAACTTGAGACGTGGTCATTGTCGTCTAGACCAGTTACGTGAATAATTAAAGCTTCCGCCTTTGGTTGGGTACTTCGACAAAATTTAACCAAACAGGACTCTTTATACTTTATTAATCTCTCTAGCTTTCAATGGTCTTTGCCATCATGATCAGGAGCTGCAATAGCATTGAGAAGAACAGCAACAATTGTATAAAATGGATTTTAAATTAACTTACAGTAGTAGGTGAGGATGTTGCTAAATGTTATTCACGTTTAGGTTGAGGGAAACACCCAGTAACCTGGTGAAAGCTGGATACATGGTAAAAACATCAGAATTAATACAAACTACACACAGCTGTTTGTCAAGAACAAATTAAAACGGAATAAAATTATGTAAAACGAAAGTTAAATATTACATCGTGAACCACTTGATGATTGCAGACAATGGTGGGCATAGAATCATAAGTAAGATGAACCTTTGACAGATGGCAGAAGGTTAGTAGTGTCCGTGTAGATGGATGGAACGAAAATTCTTTTTAAAGTGTGTGCTATGTTGCCAAATGACTTCAGATGGTGTGATTTTCGAGATATGTTGGGTAAGAACTTGTCAACCGACCAGAGGCAGTTGAACTAACTATATTATTGATGAGATGGGCAGTTGAATTAATAATTATTATTTTATTATGAGATAACAATTATTCAAATTTGAATGGAATGGAATTTTTTTGTGGAATAGACCAAAAAAGAGATTTCTGTACAAAGGAATTTTCGTTCCATCGGACACTATTAACCTTCTGCCATCTGTCGAAGGTTCATCTTACTTATGATTCTATGCCCACCATTTTGTGCGATCATCAGGTGGTTCACGATGTAATTTTTAGCGTTCGTTTTAAATAATTTTAATCCGTTTTAATTTGTTCTTGACATACAGCTTAAAATTCATTTTGTACAATTGTTGCTATTCTTCTCAATGTTATTGCAGCTCCTGATGATGATGGCAAAGACCATTGAAAGCTAGAGAGATTAATAAAGTATAAAGAGTCCTCTTTTCACCTGTATATATATATATATATAGATGGTCATAAGTCATAACTATACATAAAATGTCCAGAAATAGCATGCTTCTTTAGTACAGGATGATCCTGACAGGATCCCAATACTGCTAAACATTACTTATTCCCTGACAGCCAGAACTGGACGCATTGAATAGCGTCTATAAATACTTTCAATGCTTGTGTTGCGAAGAGTTGAGTAGATGGCCGATTTACTGGTACTAGGTGAGATAGGTAAGCAAAAATAAGACTGAAATTCTGATGGCTGACACTGTAAAACATTGCTTGGTAATATTCAGCCCTACCAGACACCTCCTACCAGCCATAAATTCTGTCAGAACAAAAATTATTTATACAAGAATTATAAGATTCAATATAAAATTTTTCATGTGATGTCTTTTATGTATATAAGGTAGGGCTATCGAAGAAAGTATGCCACTTAAAGAAATACAGCTTTATTCCACAGGACCTCCTGCACACAAAAAACCTATCATTAAAAACTTTATATTAGATCTTATTATTTTTATAAATAACTTTTACGGCACCCTCTGAGAATCTAGTTATTTCATAAAATTTGCATACGTACCATGACTTTGTGTAGATTTTTAGGACTTACCCTCCCCCCCCCAGATGACTGAGGCTACAGTAAAGATTTTCAAAGAGAGGCGCGTGAGATGGATCGAAGAAAGTGAGTCGCCATCATCCCTACAGTCTCCATCAAACTTGTTCCTTTTATAAGTTGGGCTCACCAATCTGATGTTAGTTTTTCACTGGTGTTTTTGATGGCCGGATACGACCGATCATCGTCCCACACTACCCCAATACAAGCATGGCATCCGGTTGTGCCATACAATTTGTATATTTATCATGAATTTGTGTACAACTCTGGAGATTTTCAGGATCTCCCTTATCCCTTAGAAAATTTGCTACATCCCCCTCTTCAAAAGATTTTGGGGTCAGGTACACTTTCACAAAGAGTTACTGCTTGGTAGTATTATTATGATACTGTTCACAGGGACCCAGAATGCGTAGCTTTAACTATGCGCTGTTGAAGCGATTGCTATGGAGGCGATGCTTGAACAAGTCATAGGCATACGATGATGCTGCATTAAGCTGCCCATTCTTAATTTGTCAAATTTGACGCAATCATGCACAAACAGAGGATTTTGCTCCAATTAAACATTTCGCAACATTTTTACCGCCTCTTAGATATTCATACGATTGTTTGAGTCACCTTGTATAAATGCACACTAAGCCATATTCCCATAAATCAATTCACATGCATTAAAATTCATCGTCACGTCCTCCGTGGTGAGTTGGTTCAGTAAATCTCCGAAGCTGGTCAAGTTTCCTAAACTGCCTTCAAACTTGTTAAGTCCAGTTTGTGTCAATATTGCTAAGCTAGCATTCGGAGGTATTGGTTAGATATATTGGAATCGAAGGTGGAAGTACGAAGACAGAGCTGGTCGAATTTAGTAATACCATAGCAGTAGAGGCTGCGTGTCTAAATCAGTCGCCGTGATCGAATCCCATCCCAAGATTTTTTTTTCAAAAACATTTGTAAAGGTTAAAAATT